TCTGATGCTATCAAATGGAGAGCCATTAAAACTATGCAAACAGAAAAATAACATGAGAAGATTTGCTTTTTATAAAGAGCAATCTGACTGCATCTGGAGAACAAGTGAAGTTGAAGGGAAAGCCATCAGGCATCTACTGCAATATTCTAGGTGAGAAATGATGTGGCTTTTAAGTTTGTGCCTGTAAAACTAATGAGAAGAGCCTGCCGAGTATGGATTCTTGAACTAAAAGAATATTAAATATCAACAGTACTAAATGAGACGGAGAAATCCAGAAAAAAAGATCTTATGCGGACACGGTAAGAAGAGTTTTAGTGGAAAAGTTTGGGAAAGCCAAATGGGCAATGCCTTAGAAATGCCTATGGACAAGTTAGGAAAATTTCTAATTTTGAAAGAATAAATGTACTTATATTTAGGAGGATTTTAAAAAATGTTTTTCCCTGATCTTGTGTAGTCATACTAAGTCTGAATCAAACTAGCTTCGAACCAGAATTAACAAAGACTCATCCCAGAGTTAGAGGGGGAAAGTCAGAAACACCAACATTACAGGTAATGAGCTAGGGGGAGATTATCAGACATAGTTCAGTTTAACTATTTAGTACAAATAAGTTCCATCTCTGCTTCTACTTTCCACCACAAGTTAATCTCTCCCTAATTTATTCATCACACTGCTATCAAATATTTCTTTTTGACACCTATCTGATTACATCAGAACTCTGAAAAATTCTTCAAAGAATTCCCACCTTCTCCAATAGAAAGGAAAAAAAAGTGTGAGCATCTGAATGTGAGATACAAAGCACTCCATGATCCTGCCTCCGCCTGTATTTGTTCCAAGCACTCTCGATACATGTGCCTCCAAGTTGCACCATGCACTCACCTGCTTCCCTGGTTTGTCTGTCTTTCTTTTGACCCTAGCATCTTAGATATAGCTCTGAAGAGAATTTCAAAGTTCTGCATAGCAACTGATTACTTGTTTGCCTTTATACTGCATACTCATGCAATATACCCAGCAATAAAAATGAATGAACTCCTTACACCTGTAAAACTTGAATGAAACTCAAGAGAATTATATATAGAAAAAGGCAAGCAAAGTGTTATATGATGTATTATTTTATTCATATGATGGTCTTAAAATGACAAACAATAGAGAACAGAGAGGAGGATGGTGAGGGGAGTAAGAACACAAAGGAGTATGTGGTAAAGTAAAATTGCTTAACTATGACTCTTCTATCCACGTCTTTGTAACGCTTACCAAAAGATTTGGTGGGATCATGCAAATAGAGTGTATAAAACACTAATAGGAAGAATTGGTCACTTTTATCATTTTTTTCTTTATTAATGCAGTATTTATTTGTCTTCCCTCTGTCAAACCCTGAGCCAGTTTCTTTCCCCGGGCCGCCTGGGGAGGTGCAGGGAAAGCAACATATAGGGCAGACGAGACGTGGGACAGAGAACTATGGGAGGTGAAGAAGGCTCCTTCACATGGCGAAGAGGATGAGGAAGGCCACCATCAGGCAGAAAAGCCCCATGGCCTCCGAGAGGGCAAATTCCAGGATGGCGTAGGAGAAGGGCTGCTGCTTCAGAGAAGGGTTCCTGGCATAACCAATGATGAGACTCCCAAACACAGTCCCAATGCCAGCTCCAGAGCCTGCCGCTCCAACTGCGGCCGCCCCCGGCCGCAATGGCGGCTGTGTCAATGCCCCTTGAGACGGTGCTGGTTTGGAAGCTGCAACTAGGGATAAGTGAGGTCTGGGAACGTGGGGCTGTCAAGCTGCTGAAGCGCTTGTCTGTCAGTGTCTCGGGCCATTTCTGCACCAACACAAACAGTGGTCGGCTAAGCAGCTGGGAGGTGCTCCTGACCAGGGAAGGGGTGGAGACGAATTTGGCGCAGGCGTACATTTTTAGGGGATGAGAGGCAGTAGCAGATGAGCTGCTCCTAGTGCGGGGAAGACAGAGCAGTTTTATCATTCTTGTGAGCATAAGAGAGCCATAGAAGAAGCAGAAATAGGAAATTCCCAAACCATCAAGATATAAGAGCCACCATCAGAATAGGTGGGAGATCCCTACCTAAAGTGGCAGAAACCACAGAGGCAATAGGACCACAGCACTGAGAACATGAGATACACAAGAGAAGCAGCAACAGGACTGAGGCAGAGCAGAGGTGTGGCACAGAGACTGTGAGGCATAATGGTGCTTCCTGGCCCATGGAACAAGGCAGAGGCCAGAGGACCCCATCATTGAGAAGCTGAGGACTGGAAAGAGAAATGTGGCTGCTGGCATGACTGAGAAAAGGTGCTGTGGACAAGAGGACTGTATCCTTAATGTTTTCTGATCCTAGCTTGTGGTAACCTGTGAAATGCCCTAATAAACCTTTTTGAGTTCTATGTAGCCATTGCAATGAATTATTGAATGGAGCAGAGAAGTAGAGTATCCTGGAAAGGATGGTTAGTGTCAGATTAGGGTAAAGAACTTTGAAAAGTGGAGGTATATCTGACCTCTGCCTTGTGGCAATTGACCTTGGGCTGGTGTAGAGTTGGATTTGCTTCTCCCTTGTACCCAGGTCAGAAGCGGCCCACACACAATTGCCTCAGAGTAGAATAATGAAGTTCTCATGTGATGATGATAGAGTATTATATTTTGACTGTGGTTGTGATTATAGAAATCTACATTTGAAATAAAATTGGATAGGGGAAAACACACAGAGACAAGTCACACTCTCAAATGAATGTAGGTTAAAACATATGTCACCATTGGAAGAAACTCACAAAGGTGCAGTATCTTATATTTGCTTAAAAATAAAAAGTTTAAACAAAAAATGGTGCTGAGTATAAGAACCTGAGTTTGAACCTCAGTCATTTGGGTCTACAACTTGTGCTTTATCTTGTGTAAGGTACTACTTAGAAAATGTGTGGGTACACAGAGGAAGAAATATACTGGACTTGATTGTACTGAGAGTTGCACAATTTGCATGAATGTGATTGCATTATCAAAATATGTTAATTGTATATTAATTAAATTGTTTAAAAATAAACAAATGAATTATCAAATTAATTAAAAACATATCAAGTATGCATAATACCATACAGAGAAGAAACAAATGTGCAGAAGACTTAGCCTAGGTTTTATTTAGTTCAAGTACCTGAGTAACGCAAATGTGAGATGCAGACCATGGCCAAGTTACAATCATCACAGTCTTAGTGCTGAGCCACCATTGCCAAATGATTTTGAGGAGTGAGTGAAACATTTAGCTGACCTTCAGGTTCATTTGTCATATCCTTATACACTGTGATGGCAGCTATGAAAACATTATACACATGGGTGAGGACAAGATAAAATATGATAGAACTAAAATAGTGATGGGACAGTACAGGGGCAGCAAACTATTTAACATGGGGCGTCCAGCCAAAGTCTCTAACTCCCACCAAATGACCTTTCTCTGCGTGGATATGGTAAGAAGGTGGGGGAAGATACTAATAGGATTAGCCTGTGAGTAATTACAATTACAAGATGCCCTGTAATGGCATCTTGGTGTGTATAAAATGAGCTCTCTGAGAAGCAGGAAGAGGGCTCTCATTACGAGCAAGAGCCAGGAGTGGAGTGTGTCCTTTGGACCTGAAACCCCTGTGCAGCGAGCCTCCTGGATTCAGAGACAGCTATACCATCAGAGGAGCAGTGGCAGAACCAGGAGCCAGAGCATGGAACAGAATGATGGACTTCCCAACCCAGGGATCAAGTTAAATGAGTGGGGTTTTGTTTTGTTTTGTTTTTGTTTAGGGGGGTCTTTTTGGGGGCAGGGGTCTGCCTTACAGAGCATGGTGCCTGTGGGCACTAATTGGGGAAGTTAGATATCCTGCCTTGTGGAAGTGGACCTGAGTGCATTCCAGTTGAGGATTACTGAAGTCGGGTGTTTCTGGGCACTTAATTCTGGAAATTGAGTTTGCTGACCAACGAAACTTGAGCTGAATGCCTTCCTGCTGAGGCTTACAGCAGAGTGGTGTGCCCCTTTGGCCATTTATTAGCAGACCTGAAAGTTTGTAACATGTCCTGGTAAACAACTACCCTGAGCATTTCTCACAACCTGTTACCATCCTTAATAAACACGTTATTCATGAGTTCCTATGTAACCAACACAATAGATATTAGAATCTAGAGGATATGATGTATGAAGTAGGGAATATTAATAAGCCATCACAGATAGTTATTATGGCATAATTTTATTTTATTTTTAATAAAATGTAATAAAACATTTTTTAGGCATTGACCAAATAATACTTTTTAAACCAGTGCCAAATTGGTTCACTGTGTCAATGCTGAATGTGCTGTTTAATATTGGCCAGAGGTGTTAGACATTCTGTTGTATTTTCAGTTCAATTAGCAATTATATAGTACCAGTGTTTAGGAGGGCTATAAAAGAAACACATTGCTTTACGTGGTGACGTAAGAAGTGAAAAAGATACCAGTCTGTGCATTCAATTTTTAAAAAAGGAAGAAAGACTGTTGTTACTGCTATTGAGGGTGCTAGCAAGACAAGTTTAATTTTATGTTCACGACAAGAACAGAAGAGCTCCTGAGAGTGCCTTCAAGTAATGTGGAGAGAAGGTAAATGTCATCAATTGTACTTTCCAGGACAGAACTAGGATCAATGGCTAGAAATTACAAAAATATACAAGAGCCTGGTAGTTTATATAAAACCACTTAAAATTTTAAGCTCCTATTTATAGACTGCAGAGTAGAACACAGACACTAAGGATCATTTTAAAGATTTTCTACAGTAATCCATCAACAATTCAGTGATCTAATACCCTGGTCTCAAAATGAACTATATATCTTATAGAGTCAGAACATGAACTCCAGCACATATATAAAATATATCTTCAGTTTCTTAAATAAATATGAGAAATACATAAGAAAACTTTTCCCTAAAACACCTCATTCCTATTTATGACCAGAATTAAACAGTAAATACATATATAATAAGTCACAGAAAAATTACTACTCACCCGCATTGACTATAGCATCTATCTCTAGTACTGTGATGTCACCTCTGTAGAGAGAAACTTTTTCACTCAAACTTTTCTTCTCCTGTGATTCTTCTTGAGGATTTTCCTCTGTAATAAAAGGGATCATATTAGCAATGTTATTAGGTAATTTAATAAAGGTAACTTTAGTACAAGAGCCATTATGAATCTCATCCAAACAATTAGGTAGAAATAAGTATGTAATTATCAGAGGTGTGGCTTATCTTCTATTTATTTTATATTACTCAATCCAAATGCAGTATCCTGTATAATGGACATAAATACACTTAGAAATGGTATACAGGTGAGTAAAAACATTCACCATTTGTTATTATTATAAAAGGGCCCATGTTAAAATTATATACCATGAGTTTTACAGAGAGATAAGAAAGAGCTGTGTAACTATCAAATTCAATTTTCAGTGTAGTACTTTATTTCTGTTTTGTTCCAGTTACATAAAAGCCCTCTTTAAAAAGAATATTTGTGAACAAAACATTATGTTCAGCTGTTTGCTAGATCAAGGAGAATATAATGTTTAAAAGTACTCCTTTTATGTCAAACTGTATTAACATATCAGTCTCAAGCATGCAACTAGAGTTAAACGAGAAATTGCTTGCTCGGCATGCAAGAGCCAGCAAGCCAGTATATTTCAGACACAACAAAACTATTATGCTCTAAAACTTGATGTCTTCTTCTAAAATGTTTCAGAGTAACAGTAAAAATTTGACTCTTCATTTTATTTTTTAACAAAGAGTAATGTTAAGACAAATTAAACCTGTAAAACAAAGCTAGAGGAAATACGTGTTTGTAAATATGCTGAATTGCTATGTATTAAAAGATTTCTGATATACTTCTAGAAAAAGTGATTTACAAACTTAAAGTTTTCAAAGTACTTATGAGCTGTGCAATCTTTTATGGAATATACTCAAGTATAAGCCGACCCGAATATCACCTAATTTTACCACAAAAACTGCATTAAAAATGTGCTGAAAAACTCAGCTTATACAAGAGTATATATGGTAATAATTATTCACTAAAACAGTGTGAGGTGAACATGCATGGATGAACGTCTCAGATAAGATATCTGGAGGATTAGAGAGAAGAGGCTACAAGTCATCTAAATTATCTTTAGGCCCCAACAGGCAAAGGGAAAAATTGGTCAAAACTAAGACAATAATTTGTGGCCATTAGAATGAACCTTTCTCTCTGTGTCTTCCTCATAGAAATCATTTCTTTCCTTAAAAAAAGTGGTAGGCCTAAGGAAACAGGCCTTTGACTGGTAATCACAAGGTTGGCAGTTCAAACCCACAAGTTACTCCACAGGAGAAAAATGAGGCTACCAAAAAGATTTACAGTCTTATAAACAAACTACAGATAACCTTTTGAACTGGGAATTTCAGAACACTTCATAGTGCTTATGCAGAGCCTGTACATGGACCTAGAAGCAGTTGTTCAAACAGATCAGTACTGTATCATTTAAAATCAGGGAAGTTGTGTGTCAGGGTTGTATCCTCTCACCATACGTATTCAATCTGTATGCTGAACAAGTAATCAGAGAAGCTAGATTATATGAAGAAGAATGTAGCATCATGACTGGTTGTTGCTATTGTTAGATGGCATCAAGTCCATTTTGGCTTATAGGGACCCTATGAACAAAATAAAAACTGCCTGGTACCAGCTTCACAAATGTTCTTATGTTGGAGCCCACTGTTGCAGTCTCTACGCCAATCATATATAAAGGGCCTTCCTTTTTTCACCCCTGCCCCTGAACTTTACTAAGCATGATATATTCTTCCAGGAACTGTCTTCTCCTGACAATATGTTCAAAGTCCATAAGACAAAAATCTCACCATCCTTCCCAGTAAGGAGACCTTTGACTGTTTCTTCCAAGACAGATCTGTTTGTTCTTTTGACAGTCCATGGTACTTTCAAGATTCTTCACCAGCACCATAATGCAAATGAATGTATCCTTCTCCGATCTTCTTTATTCAATGTCCAAAGTTCAAGCACATATGAGGCAATTGAAAAGAAAATGGCTTGAGTAGGGCATATCTCAGTCTTCCATACTCTAAAGATGTCTTGTGCAGATCTACCCAATGCAACACATTCTTTGATCTCTTGACTGCCTTCATGAACACTGATTGTGATCCAAGCAAGATAAAATCCTTGACAAATTCAATCTTTTCTCCATTTATCATGGTGTTACCTATTGATTAGTCCAGTTATAAGAATTTTGATCTTCTTTACATTGAGTTGTAATCCACACTTACCATATATACTCTAGTATAAGCCAACCCGAATATCAGCCAACACACCTAATTTTACCACAAAAACTGCATTAAAAATATGCTGGAAAAAATGTGCTGAAAAATTCGGCTTATACACAAGTATATATGGTAAGTCTAGAATCCTTGATCTTCACCAGCAAATGCTTTAAGTCCTCCTGACTTTCAGCAAGCCAGGTTGTGTCATCTGCTTATCACGGGTTGTATTAAGCCTTCCTCCAATCCTAATGCCACATACATCTTCATATAATCCAGTTTCTCTGTTGATTCGCTGAGTATATAAATTGAATAAACATGGTAAGAAAACACAACCCAATGAACACCTTTCTTGATTTTGAGCCATGCAGTACTCTCTTGTTCTGTTCACACAACTCCCTCTTGATCCATGTATAAGTTCCTCATGAGTACAATGAAGTATTCTGGAGTTTCCATTCTTTTGATCCAAACATTCAAATGCCTTGGCAAAGTCAATAAAACACAAGTAAACATCTTTCCAGCATTTTCTGATTTCACCTAAGGTCCATCTGACATTAGCCATGATACACCTTGTTCCATGTCCTCTTCTGAATTCATTAATTCATCGTGAACCTCTGGCAGCTCCCAGTCAATGTACTGCTGCAACTGTTGTTTGATGATCTTTAGCAAAATTTTACTTGCACATGATAGAAATGATACTGTTCTATAATTTGAGCACTCTATTGGGTCACTCTTCTTTATAATGGGCACAAATATGTATGTCTTCCAGTCATTTAGTTGAGAAGTTGTCTTCCAAACTTCCTGGCATAGGCAAGGGAGTGCTTCCAGTGCTTCATCACTTTGTTGAAACATTTCAAATGGTATTCTACCAATTCTTGGTGCCTTGTTTTCTGAAATGTTGCTGATGAAATGTTGGTATGTCCACCAGTTCTTACTGGTACAATGGCTCTTGTGTATTCTTTCCATCTTTTAATCCTCTGGTATCATTAAACATTTTGCCCAAAGACTCTATCAGTGTTGAAACTTGAGGCTCGAATTTAATTCTTTCAGTTTAAGATATGGTGGCATGTTTTTTTTCTTTTTGGTTTTCTAACTCTAGGTCTTTGCACATTTCATAATAATATTTTAATTGTCTTCTCCATATAGTCTTGGTGATAGAGATGGTTAGATAGAATTTGGCAAGACCAACTTATTTTGATCTCTTCTTTCTTTTAATGACCTTTTGCTTTCTTTATGAATGATGTTCTTGATGCCTTCCACAGCTCATGGGGTCTTCTCTTATTAGTGTTCAGTGCATATATCTGTTCTTGACAAGATCTCAAAATTCAGGTTGTGATATACTCAAAGTCATATCTTGGCTCTTGTGGACTTACTTCAGTTTTCTTCAGCTTCAACCTGCACTTACATATGAACAATTGATAATCTGTTCCACAGTCAGCCCTGGGCTCGTGTTTAGTTGGTGGTGCTGATCTTCTCTATTGTCTCTTTGCACAGATATTGTCAAGTTAGTGTCTGTAAATTACATCTGGAGAAATCCAAGTATATAGTTGCTGATTATGTTGTTAAAATAAGGTATTTGCGAGGGCAAGTCACTGGTCTTGCCAAATTCATTCGATCTCCAGCTTCATTTCTATCACCAAGACCATATTTTCCAACTACTGTTCCTTTTTGTTTTCAACTTTTGCTTTCCAGTCACCAATAATTATCAATGCACCTTCATTGCATGTTTGATCAATTTCAGATAAAAAACATTGGTAGAATTATTCCATTTATTTATCACTAGCTTTAGTGGTTGATGCATAAATTTGAATAATAGTTGTATTAACTAGATTTCCTTGAAGTTGGATAGACATTATCTTATCACAGACAGCATTGTACTTTAAGATCGATCTTAAAGTGATCCTTGTGGCAATAAATACCACGTCGTTCCTCTTCATTTTGTTATTCCCACCATAGTAAACTATATGATTTTTTAATTCAAAATGCCCAATCCCAGGCTGTTCTAACTCACCAATACCTAAGATATTTCTTGGATTCATAATGTACATTCTAAATTCTGATTATTAATAGGTTTTTGCAGCAGTTTCTTCTCATTTTGAGTCATGTAAATGTAGATCCTGAGGCTTTACTCCCACAGACTTTACTCCATTTACGTCACCATGCTTGACTCTCCTTTGAGAAAGCAGCTCCTCCTCAGTCACATTTCGAAGGCCTTCCAACTTGAGGGGTCCATCTCCTGGCCTCATCTCTGACAATGTTCTGCTTCCATTCATTAGGCCTTCAGCATCTGACAATTTTCCCATGCTATTCATAAAGTTTTCAGTAGCTACTTCTCTGAATTGGGTAATTGATTCCTTCTTCCTAATCAGTTCTTAGTCCAGAAGCTCGACTGAAATCTGTTCACTTTGGGTGGCCCTGCTGGCATTTGAAGTAACAGTGACATATCTTCCAGCATCATAGCAACACACAAACCACCACAGAAGACAAACTGACAGACAAGTGGTGGATTACAGTGCATAACATGTAATAAAGAAAACCTTTGTTTCTTGAACCATTGCATATATACATATACATATTTATAAGTTATAAAAAGATCTCCTGGAATTAGGAATATTGTGAAAATTTTAAATTTTTGAAATCTCTATGTGTCTAGGTTTATGTTGAAACTCTGACACAAAAATAGAATATTTCCTAATAGTGTCTTGATATTTTATTATCTTATAAAAATTCAAATTCTCAAAGACTAAGTTTCAAGATACTACACAGTGAACATTTCTGTAAACTTTCTGAAGCTTAGGATAAATGTTTGTTCAACTGACTAACATTAAG